CACAGAGCTGTTGAAGCACATCCAGAGGATGGCCCAAAAATGCTCCTGGGGATGAAACACCTCCCTGTGAGAGCTGGGGCTGTGTAGATGGAAAAGGCCATGAGAGAGCTGAAAGTGGCCTTTTGCTATCTAATGGGGATGTAAAAAGGAAGGGTCAGACTCTTGCGGGGTCTGCTATGACAGGACAAGAGGAAATTATTTGCTTGCTCTCAGTGCCACTCCGTGCAGGCAGGCAGCAAGCAAGGAATGGCTGCACATATCCCTCATGCAGGCACAGGTGAGCTGGAGACAGCACTCAGCATGTTGTGGTGCTCTGAGCTCCAGCCCTGCATACACTCCTCATCAGCATCTTCCGTCACCAATGTCCACCACTGTGGCTGCCGTTTCTGGGCACACCTTGGCAACAATGCTGCAGGTGGCCTCACCACACATCCGGACCCCATGCATCAAATTCCACCCACCCGAGGGGAGCAGCCTGCAAGCTGTGCCAGGGGTTGGACCAGGACACGCTCCCCATCCCCAGCCAATGCACAGGATTCAGAGCAGGGATGTAACTCAGCCCGATGCTGGGATGCACACCACGCACTGGGAAATCAGGTCCTTGCCTTGCCTTGTAGGGGCTGCCAGTGCCCCTACTGCAGGGGACACAGCAGAGCAGCCTGGGAACCCTAAGTCAGCCAAGCTCCCCTGTCATGGAGCACAGGGGGGAAAAAAAGCAGGTTTTCCTGCCAAAGCCAGCTACAGTTTGGGATGCTGGCCCATCCATCGGCAGGGCTCTCATCATCCCAGTGCCCAGCAGGCACATCCCCAATGTTCTGGAAAGTCTCAGGGAAATTTGGGCAAGCCAAACCATCAGCACAAGCTGCTAGGAACCAAAAGGCACTACATTTTTAATACCCCTGATGCCTCCGCTTAACAGTTGACCGATGCTTGATGTATCTGCTCAGGATGTGGTGCAGGCTCTGCTGCAGCCTGGATGAGACACGGCACAGTCCCCACCGACCCTGTGGAACCTCACATCTCACAGCAGATGGGAGCTGCCCCATTTTCTCTCACTGACCCCACCATCTCCACCGGCACCCTGCCTCGTTCCCAGTCTCAGGACGTCCACAGCCACCAGCACACCGCAGCCCCTCAGTCACTGTCGTCACTGTCGCTCCCTGTTGCCGCCTCTGCTGTGGCTTCCTGTTCCTCTCGCAGGTCTGCAAAGAAGTCCTCCCCGCTGCCTGCAGCCTTACTGCTCAGGGCTTTCAGTGCCCCCCCCCGCTTCTTCTTCTTGCGGTACTCATCCACCACCATGGAGCCCAGCGAAGAGATGTCCCAGAACTTCACCTTCTGGTCGTGGGCGCAGCTGGCCAGGAGCTGCCCGCCTGGGGCCACGGCCAGCTGCTCGATGGGCTCCCCCAGGTGCTGCCCGACGCACCCCAGCACCCGGTTGGGCAAAATGTTCACTGCCCTGGGGAAAAGTGAATGGATACAGCACAGTGAGGGGCAGAGCCCTGGGGAATGCAAGCCCACCCCTCCAGCTCAATGCATTCCTTCCAGCTCTGCTTGCCCTGCCCTCCAAGGTTCATCTCACTCTGCACCCTCCCCATTGCATCATTTTCACACACACTGTGTCACACATTGGAACAGGTTGCCCAAGGAGGCTGTGGATGCCCCATCCCTGCAGGCATTCAAGGCCAGGCTGGATGTGGCTCTGGGCAGCCTGGTCTGCTGGTTGGTGACCTGCACATAGCAGGGGGTTGGAACTGGATGAGCATTGTGCTCCTTTTCAACCCAGGCCATTCTGTAATGTGATTCTATGATCCCATACCCACAGCGCTGACCTGATGACCCCGTCAAGGGATCCTGTGCACACGATGCTCTCTGTGATGGGGACCATGCAGTCCACTGACTCGGCCCTCAGAGAGAAGCGGTCACTGGTGGCCCCGAAACCATTCCAGTTGAAGAGGTAGATGGTTCCTTCGCTGGAGCCACAAGCCACTTTCTTCCCTCGCTGAGCAAGAAAGGGGAGACTAAAGCACAAGCAGAACGCACGAGCCAGAGCACGGCAAGGAAACAACGGGGCTGTGCACGTGCTGGGCCGCAGGGCCCCCAGCCTACCTTCAGCAGCACAACCGACGTCAGATCCCCGCTCTGCGGCTCCGAGAGCAGCTCGAAGCGGCGCCTTTTGATGTTGAAGACTCCCATGGTGCCGTCGCCACTGCGGGAAATGGAACGGCCCTGTGGGACGGGGGCACGGGGCGGCGCTAAGCCCACCGCGGGCAGCGCCACCCCTGCAGTACCTGGCGGTCAGCAGGATCTTCCCGGCCCCGTCCACGGCCATGGAGCTGATGTACTCCTCGTGCTGCCGCGCCTCCAGCACGGCGCCGCCCTTGCGCAGGTCCCACACTTTGAGCTCTCCGTTGTCGTCGCCCGTGGCCAGGAGGTTCCGATCGACGGGCAGCACGCAGTTGAGGGCCGCGCTGCGGGACCACGAGGGTCAGCCGAGAGCTGAGCCGCGGTCGGGGTTCCCGCAGCCCGGCCCGGCACGCACCCGTGGGCTTTGGCGATGCGCGTCTCCAGGCGGCCGTCCTCCACCGCCAGCACGTGGACGGCCTTGTCTTTGGCCACGGTGAGCAGCCCTGGGGACGGAGCGCCATCAGCGCGGCCCCGACCCGGCTCCGGCCCCGCTGCCGGCCCCGCACTCACTGTGCCCGTCCTGGGAGAAGGCGACATCGCGGCACGACTTCAGGTGGTGTCCCGAGGACCAGAGCTGGCGGTTGTTCCCTTGCACGCAGCAGTACGAGTACCTGCGGGCGGCCGTGAGGCGGGCGGGGCTGTGCGGGGTGCCCAGGGGTACCCACAGGTACCCACAGGTACTCGCAGTACCCGCAGGTACTCACAGATACACGTCGCCGTCCACGTCCCCCGCCGCCAGCAGCTCCCGCTCCGGGTGCAGCGCGATGGCGTTGGCCGCTGCCTCCAAGCAGATGTCGTCGGGGGTGTCCCGGAGCTGCGGCTCCGCGGGCGGCTCCTGCAGGCGGCACGGAGCGCGGTGAGGCGAAGCGCGGCCCCGCACCCCCCGCCCCGCACCCCACGCCGCTCCGCACCTCCTCGGACTCCGCCATGCCGCCGCCGGCAGCCTGCTGCGCATGCGCGGGCTCCGCCGGCACTAAAGCGCCCCTCAGCGGCCGGGCTGACCGATGCGGAAGACGCGGGTTCGAGGCGCGGGTTCAACTTGTTTGCCTCCTTCCCCCTTCCCCTTCTGCCCTAGGACTCAACAGTGAGCCGAACCAAGCACGAGTAGCATCTCTGCCTACACATGTGCACACACTCATAAGCCTTGAGAGTAATTTTATTACATCTACGAGGGTTGCAAATCACAAGCTGTACAACAAACTCAAGGAGAGAGCCCCCAGCGCAGCCACGCAGCACGAGGCTGGGCTACGTGTGCTGCCCAGAACAGGAAGTAAGCCAGTGTGGGGGTGAAGGGGTGGCAGCCCAGGCAGAGGCACAACCGTGCTCTGGGAACACTGCATCCAGCAGGACGAAGCTCCAGCAGCAGAAGGATCAGATGTAAAGCAGGCAGCTACAGCCTCAGTACTTGGGCCTTTTCACCTCCACCCTGGAAAGAGAGATGGGCACAAGGCTGGTGAGGTTGCAGAAGAGGACAGCACTCCCCCTCCATTCTAGGGCTCAGTGAAGTCCAGAGCACCATCCTAAGGGCACGCAGCAGGTGACAGTGATGAAGAGCCCCAAAAGTCATCACCTCCCACATCTGCTCTGCCCCCACCCAAGGCTGAGGGGAGAGGTACCCTGCATAGCATATTGAGGGGCTGAATGTTCTCCTCCATCCTTCCAGACCCATTGCCTAGAGGCAGCAGAGAGGTCTTTGCCCCTTGCAGGCCCAGAGGGGGCTTGTAGGAGACAGCCACACTCCCTGCTGCTGAGCCAAAAGCAGAGATAACTTTACTAACCCATCAGCCTCCAGCTTCTTTCTCTTCTCAATGATCTGTGGAAAAAAAACACAAATGCCTGTTATACTTTGTGCACAGCCAGCTACCCAACTGCCCCTTTCCTCCATAAGGACAAAGCAAGCAGCAGAAACACTGTAGGGTGCAAGATACAGTGAGAGCTACAGCTGGAGCAAAGTTGTCAACAAGCTGCTGGAAGCCTGGATAAATTGGCCTGTTCGCTCTTCGCTCCATTTTGGCCATCAAGGACAAGTCCCAGCTCTGCTTCTTAGAAAACGAGAAGCCACAAAACTGTCTCCCCCAAGCCCACCTGAACAGCTTAGAGCTGCTGCTTTTGGACACATCCATTTGCTACACAGTACTAAGCAAAAAGCCACCCCACACAACAGCAACGCCTGGCTGCAAGGGCATGAGCCAGACCATAGAGAAGTGCCTAGCACAGCAAGTGGAGGACTAGATGGGAGTTCTCCTGACCTAGGGATATGTTGGTAATTCACAGCCTGAAAAAACCACCACCCCAGCAGCAGGCACTCACTGCACTGATCTTCTTCCACTGCCGGTCCAGCTCTGCCTTGTCATTCGTCTCTTTGAAGCGACGGGTTTTGCGTCCCTCAGACATTTTGATCCCATACTGGAAGGCTGCCCTGGGGAAGGAATGAGACAAGCTCAGTGCTTGCTGCAGTTCTGTGGCCTGGTAGTGGAACAGATACATCTGACCCAGTCAAAAGCCTGTACTCCACCGAGCCAGTTTATCACCCTGGAAACTGGTTGGGCAGGCATTCTTAAGAGCAAAGACAAGTCACCAAGCCCAGGATCCATGGTTCCTCCTCTAGCCCACACAAGAGGTTGCTCTTCTTGATTCAAGCTCCCCCAACACCTGGGTTTGGGAGCTACTGCCACTCCCATCCAGAACCAATTCCTCAGCTGATCTAGCATTTCACAAGTGCCACACTCACTTGGGCAGAGCCTCTTTGTTGTTCATGTATTCACTGTATTCCTCCTGGGTATCGAAGTCCCAGCGACCCAAAGGCCCTTTCTTGTTACCCTGCAGCAAAAAGAGATGATTCAGCAGCTCCTCAGTTGACAATGGCCAGGACTTTTTCATGCCCTTTGTACACCCACAAGATCTCAGACTGTCATCAGGCCCAGTTCAACAGACTCATGCATTCAGTATGGACCTGGCTCTAAGATCTCCTCCCCTGGAAGACCCAGCCAGGAAATCCCATGGAAATGGGAACTGAAACAGATGAGCATACATTACCAAACCTCTTCCCAAGTGCCATAAAGTAGCACATTTGCTCCTTGGGACAACAGATTTTACCTAGACCCAAGCGCACAGTAGCTTGGCAAGCCCCAAACCACAGTCAGCACCCAGCTCCTGGTATTCAGTGCTTTACACAAGCCTGCTTTCTCTCCAGTGGGACCCCCTAGGCCTGCAGTGACACCTAGTTCACTGTCTAGCCTCAGCTAATGGCAGCCTACCTGATCCATCTTGCTGTAGTCTACCTCTTCATCACTGTCCACAGCCATATCATCCATTCTGTATGGGGAAAACAAAAAGGCACAGAAAATGCTCAGAGTAGGTCTCTGAGACACAGATCAGGATCTTGGAGCCAGATGTCAATACTAATGAGGCAGTGAGCTCATGACAGATCTCTCTCATGTCCTCAGGTTGAAAAACAAGCTAACCAGAAAGAAGTTCCTCCAACCCAGAAGATTCTCAGCCATCTCTGCTTTCCCCTAGCACTGAGGGGGCAGAAGGTTCCAAAGACTCATTTATAACAAAGACCAGATAAGAGACCCAAGGAGCATTTTACGAAAAAGTTGCATAGACTGGAAAGGCACCACAGCCAGTTGAAGGCCTGCTCCTTCCAGCAAGGATCAGTGGGGATGGTGAGCAAGTTCCTGCTGCTAGAGAACAGTGGCCCCTTGGTGCACCCTGCTCCCAACCCACAGCTTCTTGCTGCTTCCTTACGTAGCAGGGTAGCACTCTGCGTAGCTGTTTGACATGCCGAAAAAGTCTCCCAGCTGCTTCTTGTCTTCTGGCTTCTTCAATGTGACAGCAGTAAAGGAAAACAGCAGATAGGCTTATGTACAGCTAAAGGCTGAGCACAGCTAGGCAAACAGCAGATTCCCCTACACACCCAGCAGACACCTGCCCCAACACAACTAGACCAGGCACTGCCAAGCTTATGTTTGGTTTACAACAAATAACAAGGTCCAAGTGGCATTTCTCTACTACAGAAGGAAGAGCCCTCTCATAGGAAGAAAGGACAGCCACATAGCCACTCAGGCACAGCTTGCCTACAGAGGAAGCCTGGCCCTGCAGTCAGCCAGGCTGCTCAGACAGTAAAGGATATGTCTCTGTTCCTTCCCAGCCAGCAGCTCCAGCAAACTTCTCATTGATGGACTTGATGAGCTCTTTGGCAGAGCCAGGTCCTGGAACAGAGAGAGCAGCAGGCTGAGTTTTGGTGGGGAAACAGCTCACCTTATTACACCTGGGGCTGGAAAGAGCCTCTTCCTGTATGATCAGTTCATGCAGCTTTAGTGTAGCTTTAGGGCAGCCTAGGGCAGCCTGCTGCAGGGTACATGGGACAGACAGCACTGGGATGGGGTAGCAGATAGGAGCACAGGCTGCACACGAGATAGGAGAGGAAAAGCTGGAGAACACCAGTGAACAACAAACTTCAGTTTGAGCACATACAGAGGTAATTCATGTAAGGTTGATCCTAGGAAGAACTTGAATCCTCCTCAGCTTATAGCTGGCATGAGGTCATATAAGTGGATTTGCTACTAGAAAAACATTCATATACCCTCAACCAGGGCTGAACTGCAGCAGTTCATAGACAAGAGACTCTTAACTCCATTACCCACCTCCCACAGCAGACAATTCCCTCTGTTATAGCAGTTTTTGGGAGAATGGAGTTCAAGCAAGACAGTGAGGCAAGCAGCTATTCAGCAGCATGCAACATCATGTGACCTCACTGCAATGTCCAGTCTCATTCAAGTACACACACGACTTTACTCACCTTTGTCAATGTCTGTGGGCTGCAAAGAAGAGGGAGAGATACTGTGTCACTTGGGAGGGCTGAAAGCACATACAGTGCATACAGACATACTGCAAGTCATGCAACTGATGGTACTGCATGACTTGCAGCTCCACTTTTAAGTTTGCTCGTAGCAATCACATGTACACACAACCAAATCATAAAAGCCACCAGCCTGTGCCAGTTTTGCCTTGCTTGCTGAAGGAGAGGACAAGCACCCTACCACCCACCAGCCCCTGGTTGGTGAGAGAAAGCTCAACATGAGCTGAACACAGGTACAACTGGGAGTACGACCACACCGACCCTACAGCTACACTCACCATGCTTCAGAAACAGACTCACCTCATCATCAGCTTTGGGCTTCTCAAAGTAGCTGTGCCTCTTCTTCTCCTCCTCCCGGTCACGCTCCCGGTCCCTCTCACGCTCCCTGTCCCGTTCCCGCTCCCTGTCCCGGTCTCTCTCACGGTATCTCTCCCGTTCCTTATCCCGTGGCATCTTTGCAGTGGAGGGGACATAATCCCCAATGTCTTCAAAGATGCTAAAGTGGAAAAGAACCCATACTTACAGGTGGTGTAATAGAAGCCACAACCACCTCCCTTTGAACTGGAACCTGACAAAGAAATGTGCAGCATCAACACAGAGAGCTAAGGATGCCCTCTAGAACTGGCTTCTCCATCTGTCAGAAGTATTGCTGCATTTCTGCTCTCTTCTGTTGTCTGAATTTGCCTCTTGTGGACCAGCACAAGAGACAGCCCTTGCCTGCCTCAATCAAGAAATAAAACAAAAGCCTGTCTCCAGCCTTAGCCACCTTGTCTTAAAAACAGCCCAAACAGCATGTCCAAAGAGGCAGCTTGCTCCCACTGGGCACTAAGCCCAGTAGTCTCCAAACTCAGATGATCAAAAAGGCATGAAGGCATATAGCTCTGATGCCACAGCCTGTGGTGGCAGAAGGGCACTTACTTCATATCAGCTTCAGGGGGTTTCTTCTCATCCAGCTTCCCTGCAAGAACACAACATCAGTAAGATGCACGTTGCTATGCACCCCACCTGTGCAGCCCAAACAGTGGCATGCCTGGAGGATGTCCTCCCAGCTTCTTCCTATGTTACCACATCACAGCTCAGCACCTCAGCAATCAAGTCCCTCCCCCGCAGAAGGCATTTCCCTAAGGAACTGGTTAAGACCAGAAAGAACAGCTCTTGCAGCTGTACTTTCTCAGCATTTATTCAGTTGTGAACATCCTGCCTTCAGGATGCAGTGTTTGGACAGCAACAAGAAGTCACTGTCCGCCAAGTTCACTGCTCCACAGTGCAGAGAATGCAGGAAATAAAAATTTATCTCATCCTCTCTGGATAGGCTTCAAGTATGAGTCCTTTCACTTGGCTCCCTTCAGCACCTACCTTTGTCTTTCTTCTTGAGCTTCTTGTTGCGGGTTCCTTGCCTGAGATAAGAGAGGATCTGTGTCAGCTTGCTGATGACGATGTCATTTGTGGTCAGCGTAGTCTGTGCCTGAAAGAGAAATGCCCAAGGAAGTGGTTGACTCTCTGCAGAGGGCAAGCCCGGCTCCAGGCGATTCAAACCAGTACAGTCAGGGAACATGGAAGCTGGCTGGGTACCTCCATGGTGGGGCAGTCAGCCTTGCTCCGGATCAGCGTGGTGGGAATATCAGTATCAGCGTACTCATCATCTAGATCTACCACATAAGCCATCCTTCCTGGCAGGAACAGCTCATTCCTCTCATAGGCTTTGTTCTTGAATAGAATGCGGTAGATATTTCGACCTGGACAGAAAAGAAATGCTGTTAAGATGCTCTTACGAGAGCAATAGACAAGCCCACAGAGAACCATTTAGCTGATCAGAAACATCAGAATCAGCTCCTAAGAGCCACACTTGGGCCCTCAAGTTCATAATTCCTATACTCTATATGCCTCCTTCAATCAACTGCAGCATTTCTCCCACATTCAAAACGCAACACAGCCACATAAACACAGCCTTACCCAACCGAGTCTTAAATTCAATTTTGTTCTCTGGATCTTCATCTTTCCTGAAAAGACAAATTAAGCATGCTAAGCACAAGCCCCCTCTGCATCATCCTCTCTGAAAGGAAGCTGCACTCAGGAGTGCAAAATCCTCCACCACTCACTTGGTTTCTTTCTGAGGCTTCTCCATCATTTCCTCTTCTTCCTTCTCTTTGCTGGCAATCTCAGCCCGTACCTAGCCACAAAGTAAATCTGTGCATTACAGACCACATCACACCACTGCTGTTCATCACAACAATAAAGGCCACTGCCACTAGTTCCCCAGCCATTCATAAATCTTTCCATGAAAGGATGATGCATTCCAGGAATGCACTGGCAGCATCACAGCATGTGACAGCAGCAATGACCACCCTCTCCTCACCACCTCTGCCAGCTGGATAGGCCATGATAACAGAAGAGCAGCGTGGTGATATCTGTACTCACCTTCTGCAGCAGGGCAAAGTCCAGACCCTTCACCAAGTGAGTGTGCTCCATGTCACCACCCAAGAACTTGGACTCCTGGATCAACTGTCTCCTCTTCTCTGCAGCAGATTTATCCCTGTACAACAGAAGTGGAGGCTGTTATGAGACAGCCACTCTGGAGCAGGCTGTTAAGAGCCATGTCACAAGCTCACGTACGCCTCTGCAGTGGGCCCCACAGCCCTGTAGTTTGCAGTTGTGCTGATCAGCTCTGTTTCCTCGTAGTCCTTGTTCACACCATCTCTTCTCTCCTTGGCTCGATCCCTGTACTTCTCAGCCAACTCTCTTTCACGCTCTATCTCCTGTTGACGCAGCTTTGCATAATAGCTGAGGTTGGAGAAACAGCCCAACATTAGTGACACATTCAACATTTGATGCACTGCTCCTGCAACAGCCTCTAATGCCCAACACATGCCTGTTTCACTCTCCATCTCTTCCCCAAACACAAACTAAAGCACTGCGGGACACAACATCTCAGATGAGATGAAGCTGTTGTAACGAGGAGCTCAGTCTTCCCTTCCAAATGGAAAAGATCTGAGAGCAGTGCTGCTCCACAGATGTGTTCCACAGGACACTATCACTACTGCAGGTGTACTACCACTGCTCTACCCTGCTATACACATACACAGCCTGTCCCACTTCTTCTGATGCTAAAGCTGCATTTCCACCTTGCTGCTGCTATTGCACATCTGTTCCCACGGGCTGTGACAATCAGTCATCTTGAGCTCTTCTCATACAACTTAGCTCCAAAGCTCCAGAACAATCCAGGCCACTAAGCATCATTCTTGGAAGCCCAAAAGCTCAGATGTCACATCTATGGGAAGTACATAACAAACAAAGGGAAAGCCCTGATGCGTCACTTTCAATGTTTACCTTTTTTTCTTCCTTCTGCGAGCAGCTGGATCTTCATCTTCATTGTACTCCCGGGGCATCCTGGAAAAGGGTAAGAAACAACAGGTACAACCTGCACAGCCAAACACAGGCAGGGTGACAGAACAGTCACAGCAGAACATCACAAAGCCCAAAGACAGGAATAGCACCAATTATCTCCAATATGTCAACAGGAAGAGGAAAAAAAAAATTCATATCTGCACTCAGCAAGAACCTAATCTGCCTCTTAAAACCCACATAAAATATTCTAACAGCTCTGACCCACCAGTTTCTCACATTAACTCCAGTAACACATACACGCAACATGCAAACACCAGCACAAACAAAGGTCAAGCTCTGCTCCCAAGGCCCTGTCTCTACACTTATTAGTACAAGCATTTGACTGCTCCACTACAGGGTTATGGAGTCAGACAGATACAATGCTCCTGAAGGATGAAGGCTCTGCTGTGCCCCACAGCCCCATGAAATACACCCTACTCACTCATGGTGGCGAGATTTGGATGGCGGCGCTGATGTTGGTGTTGCCCGCGGGGTCATGAGAAGCTTTCGAAAGTCTTCATTGGTGAGTTTGGACCTGCAAGGAAGTGAGAAGAGCAACCATCACCTCCCAGCAAACTGCACCAGCCCGGCAGGTTCTGAGGATCTGCTTGTAGGAAGTGCCCCGGCTCCCTGAGGGGCACTGCCAGGCTGTGTGTGCAGAAGGCAGGTGCTGCGCCCTGCTGCGATCCTCACACGGTACTCACTGGTGGAAGGAGTGAGCGTCGTCCACATCGTGGCCATCGGGGGCCAGGGGGTTGGAGAACGGCTCACCTGGGGACGGGAGGGAACAGCGTTCAGAGCCGGCCTCTGCAGCCAACCCTTCTGGCCCAGGCCCCGCTGGGGGCAGGCCCAGCCGTCACGGGGCAGTGACACCCTGCGGCAGGCCCAGCCGTCACCGGGCTGTTACACCCTGCGGCGGCTTCGCCGAGTCCCACAGCCCGACGCCACCTCCCTAGGCCGTTCCAGCCACCCCCGAGCGCCACATCCCATCGTTGCTGCGCCACAGGGCCGCGCCGCCCGCCCCCCCGCTCCGTCCCAGCACGCCCCGTTCCACGATCCGCTCCCCAGCCCCCAGCAGCGCTCCTCGCTCCCCGCAGCCCCCCGGTTCCCCTCACCGTCCCTCTCCGGCATCGCTGCTCGCTCCGCTCCCCTCAGCCGCCGCACCGGAAGTGCCGGAAGTGCCCGTCGCCCTCCCCGCCTCCCATTGGCCAGTCGGCTGAGCGGGCGCGCCGATTGGCCGAGAGCCGGCGCCACGCCCCCCGGCCCCGGCGGCAGGAGAGCGGCGCGCAAGATGGCGGCGGCGGTCGTGAGGGGCATCGGGGGCGGTTTGGGCCGCGGCCTGCGGGAGCTCCGCGTCCATCTGTGCCAGCGCTCGGCCGGCAGCCGCGGCGCCAGGTGAGCCCGGGGCCGGCTGCGGGGGAGGGCAGGGGGCTGCGGTACGCGGCTCTGACGGCCTGCCCGCCCTTGTCAGGGAGTTCATCGAGCAGCACTACGTGACGCTGAAGCAGGCGAACCCCGACTTCCCCATCCTCATCCGCGAGTGCTCCGGCGTGCAGCCCCGGCTGTGGGCGCGGTACGGTGAGTAGAGCGCTCTGCGGCGAGAGCTGGGCTCGGGGCTTGGGCAGCGAGAAGCTCCATACTGCTGCGAGCCGTGCTTGTGCTCTGTGTGCTCAGCCAACGCCGCGAGCGGAGCGGGAAGGCTCTTCCGTAAGGGCTTTGCTTTTGTCCCGAAGCCACCAGCGTCAGATAAATGTCCTCCCCAGCCCCGCCCCCCAGCTCAGGCTGCCCGGCCCGGCATGGCATGGGGCAGCTCCAGGGATGGGGCACTCAGCCCTCTGGGTAAGGCATTTCTTTCACGCATCTGACATAAACCTTATTTTAAAGCCATTCCCCCTTGTCCTGTTGCTCTCAAAAAGCGTAAAAAAAGTCGGTCTCCATCTTGTTTATATGTTCACTTTAAGTACTGGAAGGATGTGATGAGGTTTCCCCCAGATGTTTTAACCTTTTAAACAGGAGACCCCTGGTGGCAGCACCAAGCCTGCAGGTATCAGTGTTGGTCTCTTTGTGATTTGCAGGAAGATACAGCCCCCAGTAAGGGCTACCGTAGGAGCAGTGAGTTTTTCAGCACTGTTTTACTGAGGGGTTTGTGAGGATCTTTACGTGAGCCAGAAGCAACCAGGCTGATTACTTTGGGACATCATAGTGGTCTCTGCTCAGCTGCAGTGCCACGAGTTTAAAAAGAGGTGAAAAAACGTGGTAGGGTACATCAGTTTCTGCAAAGGAACGGCTGAGCAGTGGGATCGAGGAAGGTGGGAACAGTAACTAGGGCACGGGAAGGCACCTGGGGAGTGCTGGGGGGTGGTGATGCTGACCTGAGATGTGACATTGGCCCTGGGAAACCCAAAGCAGGGCCTTGGTTCACCCTTCCAGCAGAAAAAAAGAACGAGGCCTAACTCTTCCTCTTTTCTGCAGAGTTTGGCAAGGAGAAAAGCGTGTCACTGCATAATCTCAGTGTGGATGAAGTAGCCAAGGCCTTGGAGAACATTGTGAAAGGCAACGTGTGAAGACAGCCAGCAAACATACTGAATGCTTTACTTGTGATTTTTAATGTAAAATGTGTATCCTTAACTTAATCACATAAATGTATGTGCTTCTCCTGAGCATTGGGTTTAAAACTGCAGCAGTAAATCCAGCAGTGTTTGTACATCCCCTCTGCAGCAACAGGAGCCTTTCTGTACTGCTTGCAACTTAGCTCTGCCTCTGCCCCACGTAGTAGAGAGGCACAGGGCATCCTGGCAGTGCTTTACACCACGACAGGGACACCAGGACCAGCATTCCTATACAGCCAGCACTGCTGCTGGAAGATAGTCTGACTGCCCAACAAGCCCTCAGGCAGAGGTCTCCCCCCAGCAGAGCAGGGCACAGAGTGAGCAGTATATTCTTCAGAGCAGGAAGGCAGGTTATGTCATTTGGGAGAAGGTGGACAACACAGCAGGTGAAGAACTAAATGCAGAGGCATCCAGTGGGTGCAGGGCCATGTCCAGCAGCACTCGCACCCGCTCCTGGAGTTCTGGGGTGCTCTGGTGCTGCTCAAGGGTCTGGTGCCCTCCTTGTCTGACAAAGTCAGTAGCAACCTGTGTGAGGAGAAGGAGCAAGAGTGGGCTGGCTGCTGCTCCAGGCTGAGGTGCCTGCAGCCCACCCAGTCAGTGCTGAGTCTGGATTCCTTGTTCAGCACAGGGGTCATGGCTGAAGGGATTCACCAGAGCTCTGCCAGGCATGAGTGCAGAGTCAGGTAAATCCAGCCATTCTGATCACTGGTCTGAGTGCACAGAGCTTGAAGTAAGGACAACTGAAGGAAAACAGTGCCTCCCCGCATAATAGCATTATAGAATTATAAAGGGAGCAAGTAACCTCCACAGAAAAATTATTATCAACTAAAAGGAGCCCCCCAGAGACAAGAGAAGGGCTTCCAACTGACAAAAGTGGTTCCCAATTCAGATGTGTATTTGGGTCTCAGGAGTGTGGGGAGAGAGAAGGAACAACTGAAAATACTTCTGTTTAAATAATAATGCCCACCCACTGCCCTGTGCTGATCCTGTGCTGCGTTGTGGGGCGTGAGCCCCAGGCCTACCTGCGGCCAGTGCAGGAAGAGGAGGTGCAGCAGCTCCAGGCACTGCCCCACCACCTCAGGGTCAGGTACCATGAGGACGTGCAGCAGCAGGGGAAGGGCAGCCTGCTGGTGCAGCTGCTGGCAGTAGGCTGGGCCCTTCTCTGCTATATTGCACAGTACTGTCAAGACCTGCATGGAGAAGCCATGGAAGTGAACAAGCAGTGCTCTGCAAAGAACTCTCTTCCTCAGAGGTCCCCCAGGTGGCTTTTAAATGCTCTTCAAAAGCTTTTCCCACTCCCTGAGGAACTGCTTATCTGCACGTCCTGCTTTCTCTCAGCAAGATCCCTCTGGAGCAGTCACAACCTCACCACCCCTTAGGAAAGCATCCCTTCAGACCCTTCCCTTTAGCTTTAGAGTCTTCAAAAAGAAGGTGGCCCACCCCATGTGCAGGCAGGCCTGGCCTCAAGTTAGCATCGGTCCTGGGTCCTCAGGATTAGGACCTGGCAGGGGATCCCTCTGCCAGGACAAAACTGACGAGGCAGAAGCAGTGACTTCAGAGGACACAGACAATGACATTACCACCACACCAGACTTTCTACCAAGTTGTTAGCCCTGTCCCAAGCCAACTTCAACCTGAGTACTACCTGCACACAACTCGTGTTTGTGAAAGTTTAGAGATTTCCATAGATGTGGGGCACAAAGCAAAGCCTTACCAACATGCTCACTGTCTGGGAATGTGGCAGGAGCTGCAGCAGGGCTGGGAGCAAGTCCATAGAGAGCAGAGCAGAGCAGAAGAAGGGCTCATCTGCTACAATGGGCATAGAATAAATATATTAATAAAATCAAGGCCTCGATGCAGGAGGGACAGATTTGGTATGTGCTGGCTGCTCTTGGCACGCTCACAGCACAGGACAGACCAGCTTAGACACACCAAGTGCCAGCAGACAGATTCTCACTGCATCCTACCAAACTCAAAACCTATCCTGGGAACTCAGTCAAGGGGGAAATGTGCATGAGGGGAAGAGCTTGGCTAATTCAGTAGTATTACATCTTACAGCCTTATAGGCTGTTAGACCTTAGAAAAGAGCACTTTTCCATTCCCAAAGCACTGCTGTCTGTATGATGTGAGATACTACCTGGCAGTCCCTCAGGGTCTGCCACACAGCATGGCACTGCTGGCAGGCTCCTTGTGCAACGACCTCCACGCCTGCAGTCAGTCAGGGCAGATCCTGGCAGCAGCAGCTCAAGCTCTGCTTACAGCCTCACTGGGACACTCACCTGTGAGGTTGTTCAGCAGCCAGAGACTCTCTGGTACGATGAACGGGTGCTGCTGCAGGTAGCACTGCATGATGATGAACAGGGCCACAAGCAGGCGCTCATCTTGGGGCTGGGCTTCATGACCTGTCTCCTCTGCGAGCAGATTGCTGAGGCACCGCAGAACCGGGCAGATGAGCTTTGACAGAATGAAAGAAAATGCCTTTCAGTCAGCCCACGTCCCCAAAGCAACGAGAAGAAAGGCCAGCATCCTGCCTGTGTCTTACCAGCTCCAGGCCCTCAGAATCGCTTTGGGAGATTTCAGAAGCGATGTCACACAAGAGTGAGGTGAGAGCAGGCACAGCCCCCAGCGACATCAGCTCCACGTTGGCTGTATGGCTGCGAAGGAAAACATTATCTATGTAGGTCAGAAAACAACAGCCCTGCTCCTTCTCCAAGTACCCACACTGTCCTTTCCCTTCACTGGGGCAGAGACAGCTGGCAGTAGTCAGGCCGGACAGGTGGTGCTGAGCCAACTATGGAAGCTTGAGGATTCAGGGAGCTTTTCTTCGGGAGAGAAGGACACAAACCCAAATGTGGGGAGGCAATCAAGGGGTTTTCAGAGTGCTAGGAACAGCCTTGAGTTTATCATCTGTTACCATCCTGTATGAAATCATAAATCCCGCAAACAGCATGTGTGCTGTTGGGAATGCCCAGGATGGGAGAGAAAATGCTTTCCAAAGGGAAAGGAGTGAGGGGAGGCAATCCAGGATCCCAATCCACAACTATGGGCTCCACGCAGGCTTGTGCTTCAGCCAGCAGAGCCTTTGTTCTTCTGTACTTAGCTGCCCCCAGGGAACTCAACCTGAGGATAAAAAAAGCATTTACCTACAAACAATGTAGTGAAGGCACCATGCAAACTCTACTGCGGCTCCTGTCCCAAACTTGAGGCCAGAGCAAACCAGTCGAAGCATGTGCTGGGGGAGAACAGAGTCCAGAACCAAGCTGGGATCAGAACAGCAGAGTTAATGGAGGCAGTGGCCAGAGCACCAGCAGGACTGATAACTGATGGGGACAGATCAGCCCTAATGTCTAGGCAGCTCCAAAAACACTCTGGGAAGAGGCTCTTGGATAAGGGCTACAGTCTTAACATCACCAAGGCATGATGCAAGGCTCCCCTGTCAGTGGCAGGGCCTTGGAGTTCTCAAACACCTTGACTGCAGTCACATTTTTGGCAGTGGGAGCTGTCAAAGCTGATCTTTTCCAAAGAAATACAGCCAAAATTTCCCCACTGGCCTACCCCTTCAACAGTGTCCTTTACTCAAATATCAGAGCTATCCACTCAGATTAAGCTGAAGGAAAAGAGTCATGCCTGGCACCCTGATCTGCAAAACAGCCTCCATAGTTCAGCAGATTGCTCTAAATTATTAACATCACTGGGATGGGAAATGCATCATTGTCTCTGGCATGCAAATACCACACAGGGCCCCAGGGCACACGCTGGTGCAGGGTACGAAGCTCAGACTCACGGAATGATCTCTGTTGGGGCTTCCTTGGCTTGGAGGAGCTGTGACAAGACGTAACCTAGACCTTCCAGCACAGCCTCATGTGGGGACTGCAACCAAACAGAACAAAGGTGACACCCACAACAGAGCCAGGAAGAAGCCTACAGCTCAAAGCATTAGAGAATATCTGAAGGCCGTGGTGATGATGGACACAAGATGTTCAGCTGGAGAGGGGCACCAGGTGGTAACCCAAGCCCCCAGAAAGCAGTGCAGAGAGCCCAGGGGAGACCTCCGCACACAAAGGACAGCCGTGTGCAGAAGGGTCTCTACTTATCTGGAAGGAGGGCTGGTAATTCAGCCAGACAGTGTCTGAAAGGCCTAAGAAAAGGTCTCTTTATGGGGAAGGGCATGGGAAAAGCTACTTCACCCACCTGGATGCAGGATGACAGCACTGGAATAATGCCCTGAGGCAGAAGCTTCTTCCTCACAACTTCGCTCTCCACTACCAGGTTGCCCAGTGTGTACAAACACAGCTCCTGAAACACCCGAGAGCAGGTCAGCCCCTCCACACAAGCCTGACCACCCTGCACCTGAGCAAGACTGGCTCCAGCGGAGCAAACACGGATGGATATTGCTGGCCCCTCCCAGCTACCTCCATTCCCAGCAGAGCTCAGCCTTCCCCTCCAGAGCCGTGGTCTCTGTGGGGACCTCCCAGTGCTATTTCAGTGCCCACCTTTAGCCACAGTTTCTGTGGGCACTGCGAGGCCCAGCCTGCATCAGGGGCCTGGCCACATGCCTGCTGTTGGAGCCAGAGACCCACAGCCCCCCATTTCTACAAACAGCCTGTAGCTGCACGGGGCTCACAGGGCTACACAGAGGAACTGATTGCAAGTGAGGCAAAGCTGCTGTGTCAGAGTGTGACACAGGGATGCTCCCCTGTGCTTGGCCCTGACGGGGTTATACCTGAGTACTGCCCCACATCAGCCCAGCTGATCACCAGTGGTGATGCCAGTGAGGCTGAGGCAGGACAAAGAGCTACAGGCCAGGAGTACTGGGCTGGGTGTATCTGGCCCAGGGGCAGGTTGGGAGCATTTACCATCAGCCTGCAGCTACCTGGAAGGTGTAAACATGATGAAAACAAAGTCCTCTTGGTTTTGGAACAGGGGTCTCCACACTTCTGTGTTCCAAAACTGGGCCAGGCAAAGTCACAGCTGCCCTGAGCCAGCACTGGGGGCAGTCCTGCTCCATGGAGAAGGTTGGAACAGAGACTTCCAGAGGGTCCTTTTTAACCAATGCTTCCATATGAGCCACAGCAGCTCATATGGACCAAACGGACCAGCTGACCAAAACAAGCCTCCAAAGCGGCTTACTGGGAGCCAGAGAGGGCAACGCGAGCATGGACCTTACCATGAGCTCAACGCTGTGTCCGGAGAGGTAGGTCAGGAGGTAGGAGGTGACGGGCACGCACGCCTCAGCCACGGCAGCATCGCTGGAGTGGGACAGCTCGTGCAGGCAGCGGGCAGCCTCCAGCTGCACATCAGGCAGGCTGCAGGTGAACAGCCCGACCAGCGTCCGCACAGCTCCGTCCAGCCTGCGGGCACATCCTGAGCTGCTGCTGCCTGCGTGCAATGGGCCGGGCGGCCCCGCAGGGCCGGGCTGCGCTCACCTGACAAACTCCTGCTGCGTCTCTTTGCTCTGCAGGGCCCGGCGGAGGCGTCTCAGCCACCCTCTCCGATCCTCAGAGCCCCTCTGCACGCCTCTGAGCAGCTCGGAGACCTGTCCACACATCGGTGCAGCACCAGGGTTGAGATTCACCCCTGGAGGCAACGACAGCTGTGGGGCAGCCCAGGTGCCCACAAAGAAACCTACCGGCCGCCAGAGGCACGAAGGTTGGAAAAGACCCCGAGAGCAGCGAATCCAACCGCATCCCACCGCCGTGCCCACTGACCGCGTCCCCCACCCAGCACACCTCCCCGCGCGGCTGTGCGGCCGCATCACCGCTCTTTCACAGAATTAACGCTTCCTGATACCCGACCCTCCCCTATCGCCGCTGTGACCACCCGCACTCACCTCGCCCTGCAGGACCGGGTCCAGCGCGGCCCGCCCCGCGCCATCCTGCCCGCGCTCCTCCTCGTCCTCCCGCAGGAGCCGCTTGCTGACCAGCTGCTGCTCCCGCCGGGCCTTGCGGAGCGCTGCGTGCAGAGCAGCGCGGTGTGACCCCGGAGCTCCGAGCCGGGGCGGCCGCCGCCCCGCTCCCCGATCCCGCGGCCCGTTCCCCACCTGCTTCCCGCTCCCGCCGCCGCGCCCGCAGCTCCTCCGCGCCGCCCCGGAGCCCGGCCCCGCGCCGCCGCCCCCACATGGCCGCGGGAGGAGCGGGGCGGGGCGGGGCGCCGCGTGACCGGACGCGGCCCTTCCCACCCCGTGCTGGCGGCGTCTGGGAGGGTTTGTCATAGAATTACAGAACCGTTTGTGTTGGAACGGACCCCCAAAGGCCATGCAGTCCAAACCCCTGCGGTGCACAGGGACACCCGCAGCTCCAGCAGTGCTCGCAGCCCATCCGGTCTGAGCTCGGCTGCCTGCGGGGACGGGGCACCGCCGCCTCTCTGTGCCTCACCGCCCTTAGCGCTTTGCTGTGAGCGGGGAGGGGGCATCGCGGGATGGAAGTGAAAGCAGCGCAGGGCTCCCACGGAGCTGCGGGGAGATGAAACTCAGCGAGTTTCTCTCGGTGCGACGCACACGCGGGGTGCCAAACTGCGCGCAAAGCGCCCCGAGGCGCGCACGTCGTGCAGCCCTCGGCGGAGGCACGCGAAGCAGAAGTGCTCGCCCGCCGCTTCCCATGGCACAGCGGCCCCGTCCCACTCAGGAAGCGGCCGGGACGGAGAGCCTCGCAGCACGGGCGGTGCCGCCTGCCTGCTGCGCCGAGCGGGCGGGAGGTGCCGCTAAAGCAAAGCGGGGCAGGACGGAGCTGAAAAGTGCCGGCGGGGTTGGGAGGCACCTGCGGTGCCGCTGCGCTGAGCTGGAGGCAGGGGAGCAGCGGGCGCGGAGCTTTTGGCACCGCTGTCGGCTCTTGGCAGCGGCTGGAGGAAGCACCGCGGGGCACGGAGCGCTGTGCCGGAGCTGCCCGGTGAGACACAGCGCGGCCCGCCTGCGGCGGCGGGGGTGAGCGCGGCCGGGCACGAAGACCCCCGTGTGGTGGGCGCGGGGTGAGATCCGACCCCCGGGGTTTGTGAGGCTCGCGGTGAGGGCGGGGGGCTGCGCTGGGCTGGGGCAGGCGGAGAGTTGGAGCGGAGCCCCCCCGGCTCCTTCACACCACCCTTTGGCGGAGCTGTCAGTGCGTACTTGGGAGCTTGGGAGTACTCTGATTTCTGCTCCCGGTAAGAGCCCGCAGTTGTCCAGGCAGCAGAGCCGTACGTGGTGCCGGCGGGGCTGTACGGACATCCTCAGAAATGATTTTCTGCTCTCCCTTTGGGGCTAGTAATGAATAAGATCCCTGGATCTGAAGGAAAATATGAAGCCCTCTGTTGCAATTTCCTGCCCCAGATTGCACGGAAACAAACAGAGCTGTGGCTGTCCCGTCCTTTGCTCAAACCAGCAGCTCTGGCTCTGCTGTGCATTGCTCAGCGTTTCTCATTTCTCCAAATCTGTGACGTTTCCCAGCTGCCTGTGGGCAGCAGCCAGCAGCGGTGTGCCCCATCTGCAGCCCTGCTCCCGCTGAGATCTCCTTTTGGGGATGGAGCAGTGCCACGCAGGAGTGGTGGCACATTAGGCGCAGGCAGGGCGTTGTGCTGGTGATTGCACAGGGTGGGAGCTCTGCGCTGACTTGTGGCTGCGGGAGGGGTGGTGAGGGCAGCGTGGGGGCTGCGAGGGCTGCTGTGCAGGACTGATTGGGCTGATCAGAGCAGTCCCATCGGCCGCGGTCCCACAGGCCGCCCCGCTCACCGCCGTCTCCTTCCCAGGCTGCTCGCCATGCGTGGGGCCGCTCTGCTGCTCCTGGCGCTGGGGCTGCAGCAGGCCGAGGGCCGGTGTGTCTTCAACCGCACGCAGGAGTACTGCCTGTGCTACAGGCTGACCGAGCAGAGCGCCGGGAGCGTCATCCAGTGCCTCGCCGCCTCCGCCGTGGAGTTTCAGGGTGGAGACCTGGAGAAATACGCTGACTTCCCCATCAAGGACCTGGACGACTCCACCATTGACATGCTCGGCAGCCTGGAAATCAGGAAGATCATTTTTTCGGACCTTCTGGTTCCTGAGGTCCTCCTGGCCCGCGTCCTGCGGTTCTTCTCCTACACTCAGGTGCAGGAGATGGTGTTTGACAGCTGCAGCTTCGTGGGGAGGAGCAGCTGGGCGGACATGGCGGGCCGGGCCTTGCCTATCACGTCCCTGCGCTTCCACAACGTGACAGCTGCCGAGCTGGCGGGCCGCAAGCAGGACCTGTCCCCGCTCAGCCGCTGGCTGGGAGCCCTGCAGGAGCTGTCGGTCACCGCCTCGCACCTGGCCACGCTGCCCTGTGCCGTGGGCCGGGCGCTGCGGGCCCTGCGCTCGCTGGACCTGGCACATAACAGCCTGCGGGACGACAGCCTGGCACCCGCCTTCTGCCGGGGGGCCTTCACACAGCTGCGGGTGCTGAGCCTGCGGCACAACAACCTGACGTCGTACCGCGCCGTGTGCGGCGGCGTGCGGCTGCTGGGCGAGCTGCGGCACCTGGATCTCAGCCACAACGCGCTCACCGCCGGCACGCCTTCGTCCTCCTGCCGGTGGCCGGAGACCCTCCGCGTCTTTAACTTGTCCAACGCCGGCTTGGACGAAGTGCTCACACCTCTGCCCCCCGGTCTGGAGGTGCTGGACCTGAGCTCCAACCGCCTCCACACTGTGGACGTCTCCCTGCGCTCCCTGCAGGCGCTCCTCCTCGGCCGCAACGCCCTGCCGGCCGCGCCGTCCATCCGGGGCTGCCCCGCACTGCGCACCCTGCACCTGGACAACAACCTGATCGCAGAGCTGCCGCGGGACGAGGTGCCGCTGCTGGAGCGCCTGCAAGACGTGGCCGCGGCCGGGAACCCCTTCAACTGCACCTGCACCGGGGCCGCGGTCTTGCAGGCGCTGGCGGCCGCGGGGCGCCTGGGGCAGGGCTGGCCGCAGGGCTACGTGTGCCACGCGCCTGCCCGCTACCGGGGCGTGCTGCTGCGGGACGTGCCCGCCTCCGTGCTGCACTGCAGCCCCGCCGCCGTGCTGGCTCCCGTCTGCGCCGGCCTGGCGCTGCTCTGCGTGGCCGTGGCTGGCGGGCTGCTGTGGGTGCGCAGGGCACGGCCCAGCTGGGTGTGTGGCCTGGGACGACGGGAGGATGCTTGCAGTAGTGCAGAGCGCTTGTAGGGTTCTCCCGGTGTCCCACACCGCAGTTCCCTGCGGAACAGGACTGTCCTGCAGCAGTGGTGGCTTTCCCAACGTGAACTTTGGAAATCCTTGTAGAAGCATTAAGGTTGGAAAAGAGCTCTTAAGATCACGTCCAACCACAACTGCACCGCACCACCCCAACTCTTACAACCCTCCCCTAAGTCATGTCCCTGAGCACCGCATCCAGATGGTTGTTAAACGCATTCAGAGGTGGTGACTCAATCGCCTCCCCAGGGAACCTATTCCAGTGCTTAACAACCCTTTCCGTAAATAAGTTTGTCCTGATAGCCAAGCTAAGCCTCCCCTGGCACAACATTTCCCCCCGTCCTGTCACCAGTGAGAAGAGACCAACCCCGCTCTGCTGCAGTCACCTTTCGGATATTGGAAGAGAGCAGTAAGGTCTCCCCTCAGACCAAACAGCCCCAGTTCCTTCAGTCTCTCCTACAGGCCATATTCTCCAAGCCCTTCCTCAGCCTTGTTGCTCTTCTTTGGACCTGCTCCAGCACCTCCATGTCCTTTCTGTA